GAAAAATCTTGCTGTAGATGATGCTACAATGTTTTTTAGAGCTATGCTGGCCAGATGTTTCCAGGCCAGGGGAGGGATGGGAAGTAGGAGCCTTCAGCTTTTTCTAGGAGTTGATGAATCCCTTCCTTTTGCAGAGATCCTAGACTTTGGCTACCCACAGAACTCGGAGACAGGTGCACTGAAAACCTTCATCACCCAGCAAGGCATCAAGAGCCAGGTACTCAAATTGTCCAGGCTATAGTCAGGGTGGAGCCCAGCCTCCCTTCATCCCAGCTGGCCCTCAAGCCTTTTCTGAGCTGACTCATGAGCCCATCCCTGATAGGAAGTGCTGGCCTGAGCCTTCTGCCATGACTGCAGGCCTGTTCTGCTCTGTGTGGCCTTCTCCCACCCCTGGAGCTTGCCAGCTCAGCATCTCTGTTACTGGGAATACAGCTCAAGCAGTTTCCTTCTGTGTAGGGGGGGAGGGGGGTGTGGGCTGCTCTGGAGGCTTGATATTGCTCAGAAGGAGAGAGCCTGGGCCCCCTTCTAGGATCCAGGCCTCATAGCCTTCTCCTCCTTTTCTGCCTGCCTCTTCCCATCTGCGCTCATCTGCTTCCTGTGGGCACCGTGTTGGCTCTCTGTTCTCCAGCATCAGGTAAGCTGTTCCCTCAGCTTCCACCCTTGCAGCTTTGCTCAGTTTTCTCCAGGCCCTGCCCCGTGGGGGAAGATGGGTCATACAGTGTGGACTAGAAGGGTGAGGGCATGAGGGTGGAGTAGGGATGGAGATAAGAAAATTGAAGGGGGCGAGGAATGAGGCCTTGTTGTTTGTCTCTGCGCCCCATGTAGACAAAAGAAGAGCAGTCTCAGATCACCAGCCAGGTGACCGGGCAGATTGGCTGGCGGCGGGAGGGCATCAAGTATCGCCGGAATGAGCTCTTCCTGGATGTGCTGGAGAGTGTGAACCTCCTCATGTCCCCGCAAGGTGAGGGCCCTAGCGTGATGAAGCTGGAGGGGAGGCAGGGCAGGATATTGGTCCTGACTCAGCTGCTTCTGGTTATCTGTCCGTCACCAGGGCAGGTCCTGAGCGCCCATGTGTCAGGCCGGGTGGTGATGAAGAGCTATCTGAGTGGCATGCCTGAGTGCAAGTTTGGAATGAATGACAAGATCGTCATTGAGAAGCAAGGCAAAGGCACAGCTGATGAAACAAGCAAGAGGTGCCTGAAGCAGGGTAGCTGGTGGGAGAGGGTGGACCTTGGACAGCTGAGCAGAGCCTGGTGAATCACAGGTTCCTTCTAGATTTCATGTCTGCAGTAACGCAAACTCTCACTTCCCAAGGGTGTGCTTGGCTTGTTGCTCTTGGTATCTGTGTTGAAGAGATGAGGGGGTTATCCTCACCCTCCTCAAGAGTAAGCCCCTTTTTTTGGTCCCAAGGACCGAGACTTCTCTATGTACTGATGGCCTCTGTCCAGTGTGCCTGAAACTTTTGTGTTCCACACAGCAGAATTCTCAAAAAAAAATGAGTTTGCAAAGCTTCCACTCATCCATAACTCTAGAAAAGGGACCCCGAAGTGAGAAAACTGCATTCTGGCAGCTTTCCATAGATTACAGTGCAAGCCTTGTCCAGGCTGCTGCAGCCTTTGTGGGTGGGGTAGTCTCCAAGTGCAACTCACTGCTGCCATCCTCGTGTACCAACAAGACCTTCTATCCCTGCTTGCAGCGGGAAGCAATCAATTGCCATTGATGACTGCACCTTCCACCAGTGTGTGCGACTCAGCAAGTTTGATTCTGAACGCAGCATCAGCTTTATCCCACCAGATGGAGAATTTGAACTCATGAGGTGCCATTGGGGTGTGAGGAGCAGGGGTTGCTATTGGCAGAGAGCGGGGAGAGGGGGGAGGACAGGCTCTGCTGTGCCAACCTAAAGCTGTCACACCCCTGAAGGTATCGCACCACCAAGGACATCATCCTTCCTTTTCGCGTGATCCCACTAGTTCGGGAAGTGGGACGCACCAAGCTGGAGGTCAAGGTGGTCATTAAGTCCAACTTCAAACCCTCACTACTGGCTCAGAAGATTGAGGTGAGGATAAGGGGCTTAGGGAGGAGAAAGCACTTGTCTCTAAGAATAAAGGCAGGTGATTCAGGATTCAACAGAGCTCCCTGACATGTGTGTCACTTCTAGGTGCGGATCCCAACCCCACTGAACACTAGCGGGGTGCAGGTAATCTGCATGAAGGGGAAGGCCAAGTATAAGGCCAGTGAGAACGCCATCGTGTGGAAGTGAGTTTTTCCTTCATGAGGGCACAGCAGGGCTCAAGAAGCCTTCGTGTACACTCTTGTTAAGTGTCACCTTGTGTGTGTGTGTGTGTGTATGTGTGTATAGTGGGGGAGTGGGGGTGACTGCTTCTCCTGGAGCCCATGCCTGTGTGCTCATCCCTTGTACCTCTGTGCAGTTGTGCACATGCCTGCGCTGGGGTACACGCATGCATGCTTTTATCATGATTCTTTACTGTTTCCCCATTTGCCCTTGTACCTCTGTGAAGTAGAGAGCAAGGGATAGCCTGGCCATGTATCTAAGCAGAAACTGCATGCAGCCCGCAGTGTTAAAGGAATAACAGACCCAAGGTTTCATAGCAAGAGGTTATCAGAGTCCTCACCACCTTGCCTTGCCCTGGCACCTCCCCTGAGTTTCTGGGTTCTTTCCCCCCCACAACCTCCTCAAAGGGGCAGCAACCCCCCTTAAAGCTTTTCTAAGCTACCAGGGGCCCATGCTGCCTGTTGACCCTGTGTTTCTAGGATCAAGCGCATGGCAGGCATGAAGGAATCCCAAATCAGCGCTGAGATTGAGCTGCTGCCCACCAACGACAAGAAGAAATTGCCTCGACCCTCCATTTCAATGAACTTTGAGGTACGGCAGAGAAGGGGCCTAGAGCAGTGTGTGCTAGGAAAGACCTTAGAAATCCTTCCAATCTCTGCACCTACCACCTTGCTGATGACGAAACTGAGACCCCTGAGAGAAGTGATTTCAATTCACAGACCCTTCCCCTGCAGGCCTCCTAGAAATTGATATTCACACTGACAAAAAATTTTGACTTCCTTTGGCTTGTCATAAAACAATTCTTAGGAAAAACTGAGATTGCATGCTTGGTAAGACACAAGACAGGAAAGTGGGCTGACTTTGCTTTGTGCGTATTAGACATGTAATTTTTTCCACTTTACTGTTTAAGTCCATAAAACTGAGCAGGATAAGTATATTCTAAGGCAGGTCTTTGGTTTGCTGTCACCTGCTGATTAAAGGAATTGATTCAAGTTGTCACAGGCAGGGTCTGACTTCAAACCCAAACGATAGATTGCTCGTTATGCTTTCTTCTTTAGTAACCTCTTAGAGGACCCCCTCACCACCCCAGCTTCCCACAGCTTCTTTCAGGGTCCCAATCATTCAAACCCCTCTAGTAGAGAGATGAGGTAGGGCAGAGCTGTGAAACTTCCCCAAGGAGACCGGCTATGAAAGGAAGGCCACATTCCTAACTGGAGCTATCCCTTGCCCAGGTGCCATTCGCACCTTCTGGCCTCAAGGTGCGCTACTTGAAGGTGTTTGAACCGAAGCTGAACTACAGCGACCACGATGTCATCAAATGGGTGCGCTACATTGGCCGCAGCGGCATGTATGACACCCGCTGCTAGCTGCCTGGTGGCCGCTAGCCCACCTCCCCACCCACCCTCTTCCACAGGTCTGGGTGCCCTCGGCCACCACACATCAGTGTCTCCTCCCTCCTGCTTTGCTGCCTTCCCTTTGCACCAGCCCCTGAGTCTAGGTCTGGACCAACCACATTGCAAGTGGGACTGGTGGAGCAGTCCCTGGGCTCCCTGAACGGGGTGCTTTCAGAGACTCCTGCTCCACCATCCATCTGCCTGCCCTAGCCCACTGCCAGGCTCTTGAGTTCTGTGACCAAAGCCAAGTGGGCTCCTTCTCCTCCCCTCTCCTATGGCCACATCTCTGGAGTGGGAGGGTTGGCTGCCCCTCACCTCGGAGCTCCCCCAAAGGCCAGTAACGGATCCCCAGCCCTCAATTCCTACTCTGCTTTGGGATAGTGTGAGCTTCATTTTGTACACGTGTGACTTCGTCCAGTTATAAACCTAATAAACTGTGTAGAATGGAGCTGCTGGCTAAGTGTTCAAGTGGGAGCTATATGGGGAGAGGGTTTGGTGGGACTGCCCCTCCCCTGTCTTAACTCAGCCTTGAGTGGAATTCTCTTCTGAACTTTTTTGTCATATCCTAATTGTTAGGTCCTTCAGGGCCAACCAAGCCCTTACCTGACAGGTATTTCCCCCAGAACTCCCTCCTGATAGCCTCAAGGGCAAGCAGCCCCACCTGGCCCCAGTTCCCTGAGGGTAGAGATTCTTACCTAACATCATCCTCAGTTTTAGGCAGGTATTTTTCTAATTAGCAGAGATTAAGCAAGGTTTACATATGGTCTTGTGAGCCATCCTTAGAAACTAACTGACCTCTTTTAATTTTATCCTCTTCCCAGTTCAAGCTTCCCAGACCTTGGCGGGTATGTTGTAAAAAGGAAAAAAATTCACTCTTCCCGGGCCTCTTACGGGCTCTCCCGTCCCCCGTGGCTGAGGGGAAAAGAATTCACCTGCAGTGCAGGAGACCAGGCTTCGATCCTGGGTCAGCAAGATTCTCTGATGGAGGAAATGGCAATCCGCTCCAGTATTCTTGCTTGGAAAATCCCATGGACAGAGGAGCCTGGCGGGCTACAATCCATGGGGTCACAGAGTCAAAGGCGGCTAAACACGCAGGCAGGCCTCTTAGATAATTCCTCCCTCTATGCCTCCCCCTCGCCAAAGAATTGTGTGAGCAGGACCCTGAGGGGAGCGCTCCATATTCTGCTAAATGTGTTGGAGCAAAGATCTGCCATCACCAGTTTTCCCTTGCTTGGTCTCTGTCTTTTTAAACCTAAGAAATCTATTAAGAGAAAATTTCAAACAAGTAGAAAATATATAATGAACTCCCATGATAGTGGTTCAACTTGTCATCAGCTCTTTAATGTCACATCCAATCTGTTCATGCTTAATTCAAGTGTCCTACAAAAACGTCACAATTTACATCTGCATCCAAACAAGGTCCCCTGATTGGTGGATGCTTCTTAAATCTTAAAAGCCACAAGTTCTCTCTCAGCTTTTACAATATTGTTGAAGAAACCAGATAGTTCTGTAGTTTCCCTGTTAGGAGTCCTCTTTCCCTGTGTTTCAAATAAAATGGAAATCTTGTAATATTCCTCAATGACAAAACGATGAATGGGTGTGACTTTAAGTGACAATTTTGGAGCCAGTTTGGAAGAATAGTCACATTAAATGTGAAGCGGTAGCATTTTCAGGAAATGCCTAACTTCTACCTGAGGGAAACAGTGAAAGGCAATAGCCTTTTACAGTCACTTACTGAGACTCTGGTTGCGGAGATGTCTGCTTTGGGTGTAGGTTGGGGAATAATAAATAGTAATGAAATTACACAGACCTTGTCGATCTGGTTTTCTTGCCCAGTGGCGGTCAGTGAGGTAGTGCCCAGGGGTGATGGAAGGCCCAAAGGGCGTTATTCGCTTAAGTCTGCTGAGCCGTCAAGTGTCAGAGGTCGCGGGCGAGCTGGCTATCTGATCAAGACAAGCAGCCCGTAGGGCCTGAAAACCGAACAAAATCCACGACTGCACAAAAAGGTGCGAGGGGCTTCTGAGCGCTCAGGCACCAGCGTGAGTCAGCAATGCTCTCAGCGGGCTCCACAATGGACAGGCACGCAGCGGCTGACGCGCCTCTGGGGAGCATGTAGAATCTAGCAAGGCCAATGTGCTTTATCGACCGCCCTTCTCGGGAGGTTCCCTTCATGGCCTGATAAACGGCGAGCTTCCCCGTACCCCGCCCTCGCCGCCTGCAGGATCTCCACCTCCCAGAAGTCTCTGAGAGCCGCACATGTGGCTAATTCTTTAGTGGAAAAGAGTCGCGCAAGCGCAGAGAGCGGCTCGGCGTAGACTGAGCGGCGCTTGCGTACGGTACCGCCAGCTCCGTTCGCCCCGCCCTCCGGGTTCTGCGCGCTCCGCGCCTTTCTTACGTCACCGTTTCGCATGCGCTTTGGTAGGCAGGGCGAGCTTTCGGGGGACCGGTAGGGGGCGGGCCTTGACCGGGGTCTCACGGCGACTGCGCGGACGGGAGCCCGACTGGAACATGGCGACTTGCGCTGAAATCCTGCGGAGCGAGTTCCCCGAGATTGACGGACAGGTCTTTGACTACGTGACGGGTGAGCCGAACCGAATCAACGCGCTGGGGATGTCGAAGTAGAAGTCAGGACGGGGGGAAGTACTAAGGCAGAGCAGTAGCGGGGACCGCCGCTAGGCCTCTCCTCTGTGTGACCTCTTGTCCCGAGGGCCAGTTGGGTCTGGAGCCCGGACTGGGGCCGCAGTACGGGGACCGAGACTGCTTGTATGTCTACCTTATCTGGTATCTTCCTCGTCTTGACACGCCCTCCCTAGGCGTCTTGCACAGCGGCAGTGCGGACTTCGAGTCTGTGGATGACCTGGTGGAAGCTGTGGGGGAACTGTTGCAGGAGGTGTCCGGGGACAGCAAGGATGACGCGGGCATCAGGGCCGTGTGCCAGCGCATGTACAACACTCTTCGCCTGTACGTGCCAGGGCAGGGGGATTCGGGGAGATGGGAGAGCGGACGGTCAGGTGACAAGACATGAGAGAAGGTCTGATGGCCATAGAGCTTTTTCCTCCACTTCTAACCCATTGCTTTCTATCCCTACCCTCAAGGGCGGAACCACAGACCCAGGGAAACAGCCAGGTGCTACTAGACGCCCCCATCCAGTTGTCAAAGATAACAGAAAACTACGGTGAGAGAGAGGGAAGATTGAACTAGCTGCCCTATGTCCTCCACTCCCTACCCACCTGCCCTCTGGGGCTCAGGACTCTTGGTACCTCTTTTCCACAGGACAAGGTTGTAGGAGTTAGTTGATGTCTTTACTGAGGGCAAATGAGCCATTAATAAAGGGATTAAGATTGGCGAGGTCTCCAAGCTCTTGGGTGTGGTAGGACGCATGGGTCTTGGAGCTGGACAGATTTAGGTTCACTCCCCAATTTTGCGGTTTACTAACCTACGGCATGATCTTGTAAGAGTTGCTTAACTGCTCCTAGCCTCTGTATCCTTAAATCTGTGAGTTGTGTTTTTTTTTTTTTTGGTGGAGATGCCGAGAATGTGAGTTGAGTTTTTAAGTGTTGAGAGAATTGATACCTATCTCTAGGTATCTCTAGGTATGTGTCTGTGTCTGATTCATGTTAGTCACTCAAAATGTTAGTTTCCGTTCCCTTAGGGAGAAGGTGACTGCTTTTCTTATCGCTTACAGACTGTGGCACCAAACTTCCAGGCCTGCTAAAGAGGGAACAGTCCTCGGTGAGGAGGGAGAGGAAGAAGAAAGGGAGGGGTCTGTGTCTGTGGTGGGGGTGAGAGTTGGCTGTTTTTAAGTATTGGAGTATCTTCTTGGGGCATTTCTGATCTGAGTCCTTGAGCCTGCACCACAGGATGAAATGGGTTATGTTTGGACCCTTAGACGGTGAATGCAAAGAAGCTAGAGAAAGCTGAGGCTCGATTGAAGGCAAAGCAGGAGAAGCGCTCAGAGAAGGACATACTCAAGACCAGCAACCCTCTGTGAGTTAGTGAAAAGGGCTGAGAAGAGAGCAGAGCAGTCCCAATTGAGATGGAAGGCTGCTTGGGAGTGCTAAAAGCCATCCATTTCTCCCTTTAAGAGTCTTGGAAGAGGCATCAGCCAGCCAGGCAGGCAGCAGAAAGGAAAGTCGGTTGGAATCATCTGGAAAGAACAAATCCTACGATGTGCGAATTGAGAACTTTGATGTGTCTTTTGGCGATAGGTGAGGGAGTGGCAGTGGGGGAGTGGGGGTGACGGGTTTTTCTTTTTTTTACAGTTAAAGGAGAATTTGAAGAGGTGAAATGGGGCTAAGAATAGTTAGATTTCTGTTGTTAAACTTGCTGTGCAGCTATCTCTAGAGCCCCCTTTGTCATCTTCCTGCTACCCATGCAGGGTACTGCTGGCTGGAGCAGATGTGAACCTCGCGTGGGGCCGCCGCTATGGGCTGGTGGGTCGGAATGGGCTAGGGAAGACGACGCTGCTGAAGATGCTGGCCACCAGGAGCCTGCGGGTTCCAGCCCACATTTCCCTGCTACATGTGGAGCAAGAGGTTGCTGGAGATGACACCCCTGCCCTGCAGAGCGTGCTGGAGAGTGACACGGCGCGAGAAGACCTCCTGCGTCGGGAGCGGGAACTCAGTGCCCAGATTGCCAGTGGCAGGTGAGGGCTCCCTGGGACAGACTGACCACCAGCAGCCATGCTTCGCAGAGTACCTGCCACGCTGGCACAATCCACCATTTGAATACCCATCCTAGTAAGCAGCAGAGCTTAGGGTTTGGCACGGTGGGGCTGTGCATTCTTGTTCCTGGCATGGTGCCCATTGCCCTCACTGCTATGAGCAAGTCCTTCCTGTCCTCTGTTCCTGTCCCAGCAACATGCAGCCAGTAGCCTGCTTTGCAGCCGTCCTGAGGTACAGGATAAAATAGTAAACTTCTCCCGCTCAGCCTGATTGCTCTTCCCCCCATTCCTAGGGCCGAGGGTTCACAAGCTGCACAGCTGGCAGAAATCTATGCCAAGTTGGAGGAGATTGAGGCTGACAAAGCACCTGCCAGGTATTTAAAATTCCCTTCCTTCTTTCAGATTTTATCTTTCCCATCTGTTACCTGTTCCAACCAGGTTCTTTCATTTCTTCACTCCTAGAGCATCAGTCATTCTTGCTGGGCTTGGCTTTACCCCCAAAATGCAGCAGCAGCCCACCCGGTGAGTGGCCCCTACCATTCTTGGCTCTGAACACTGTTGGCTGTGCCTCTGCCTCTTCTCGTGAACACTTGACCCTGATGCAGCTCTGTCTCTTTAGGGAGTTCTCAGGTGGCTGGAGGATGAGATTGGCCCTGGCCCGGGCTCTGTTTGCTAGGTGAGTCCCCTGGACCTGTGTGTGGATACTGTGGAGGATGAGTTTGGCTCTTGGGAGGTGGCAACAAGTCGCTGACCTGAAACTTCAAACCATGCATTCTTCTTTTCCATAGGCCAGATCTGCTGCTGTTAGATGGTGAGTGTGAAACGCGGCACCCTGACTTTGGGGTGTAGAAGGGTGGTATTATCTAAGTTTCTAGTTCTCCAGCCCTTCAATCCCAAACATGTCCTCCCCCGCTTTTCTAGAACCCACTAATATGCTGGATGTAAGGGCCATCCTGTGGCTGGAGAATTATCTGCAGGTGAGTGCCTCCAGGTGTGGAGCAGGTCTGGGAAGCGTCTGCCTCCACGGCCGCTGGGGTTTGGGAGCTGATTGCCCTCCCAAACCGGGCCTGCCATCCTGTGACCCCCTCAGACGTGGCCCTCCACAATCCTGGTCGTCTCCCATGACCGCAACTTCCTGAATGCCATAGCCACAGACATCATCCACCTGCACAGCCAGCGGCTGGATGGTTACCGGGGAGACTTTGAGACCTTCATCAAGAGCAAGCAGGAGCGACTGCTCAATCAGCAGCGTGAATATGAGGCCCAGCAACAGTATCGCCAGCATATCCAGGTGGGAGAGCAGGCAGGAGTGGGGACCCACCCCATCCTATGGGTACTAGAGTCATAGGAGGCGAGGGAGCTGAACATGCCTGAACTTGTCCACCTGCAGGTTTTTATTGACCGGTTTCGCTACAATGCCAACAGAGCCTCCCAAGTGCAGAGCAAACTCAAGATGCTGGAGAAACTGTGAGTACAGTGTCCCTGACCGGGCCCTGACTCCTCTCATTTTATAGGGAATGCCTACAATTCTCATCTTGCCCTCCCCTTCTAGATCTCTCCTTTCCTACAAATTAGCTTTAACTTCCTTCCCTGCAGGAAGGCCTGGTACTCTATTACTGCTCTTGGAGAGCTCATCTTGCCCCCAGACCTCGGCAACCGTCAGTCTGCTTTCAGTCTATATATTTGCTAATTCTGGACATTTCATATAGACGGATTCGTACCTGTGACCTTTTTTTATGTCTGGCTTCTTTTGCTTAACGTCATGTTTTTGAAGTTCATCATGTAGCCTGGATGAGTACTTCACTCCATTTTCTGGCCAGATAATATTTCATTGTACGGTTACTCCACATTTTGTTTAATGATTCATCAGGTGGTGGACATTCAAATTGTTTCCCGTTTTTGGCTGTTAGGAATAATAGTACTGATATGAACAAGTTTTTGTGTGGACATATGTTTTCTATTCTCTTGGGTACATAGCTAGGAATGGAATTGCTGGGTTATGTAATAATTCTATGTTTTAGATTTTGAGGGATTGCCAAACTGTTTTTAACAGCAGTTGCACCATTTTACATTCCTACCAGCAGTATATGAGGGTTACAGTTTCTCTACCTCTTTGCCAACATTTATTATCTGTCTTTTGAAGTTTAGCCCTCCTAGTGGATGTGAAGTGATATCTTTTTGAAATCTTGATTTGTATTTCCCTTGTGACTAATGATGTTGAGCTTTGGAGGCATTTTTTTATTGAAGTATAGTTGATGTGCAATATTATATGTTTCAAGTGTACAACATAGTGATTCACAATTTTTAAAGATCATGTTCCATTTATGCTTATGATAAAATATTGACTATATTCTCTGTGTTGTGTAATATATCCTTGTAGCTTATTTTATACCTAGGAGTTTGTATCCTTTAATCCCTTACCCTAGTCTTGCCCCTCCCTCCCTCCCTCCCCTCTCCCCACTGGGAACCACTAGTTTATTGTCTATATCTGTGAGTCTGCTTCTTTTTTGTTATATTGACTAATTTTATTTTTTAGATTCTACATATAAGTGATACCATACAGTATTTTTTTTTTCTCTGACTTATTTCACTTAGCATAGTCTTCAAGTCCATTTATCTTGGTACAAATGGCAAAATTTCCTTCTATTTTTATGGCTGAGTTGTTGTTCAGTCACTAAGTCGTGTCTGACTCTTTGCGACCCCAGG